TTTGTTTAACAATACACATAGACCTAAAACATTTTCCCATTAATGTCCAAAGGTGCTTTTTCAAGAGACAACTGGACTTTAATGTTTTTCTTCGAGAATCTCTGAGAATCTCCATAGACATTTTCCCATTAATTTCATTTAAAAAAAATACTTGGAGTATTAACATTATTGATGAAAGATAATGATATTGCTAAAAATGTATCTAAACAAAATATTTATACAAGTTGATATCCTGGCAATTGCAGCAAAATTCAAAGAATGCTGCTAGCAGATCAGGTGGTATACAACTAGTCCTAGGTAGTTACTATAGCTGTCAGATCAGGCTCAGCCATTACTATGAGTAATTTAAAATAAAAAATTAAAATTACAGTATCTGAAAAGACACAAAAGTATTTTTTCACAAGACAATGGAGTTTCTTGAACAACTATGACCTGGATGATTGAAAATCTCCATAGACATCTGAAAAGACATTTAAAAAGCAACTAGAAAATCTGTCTTGAATATAATCTATGATCAACATTTCTATAGTATTTTTCTTTCCTTTTCCATTTTGCTTTGCCCTTATCATAGTATTATTTTCTTACTGAATATATTTTGATCAGCAACACAAAGATATAGTGGGTGAAACATTAAAAATACATATTCTTCTAGCACTCCTGGTTATTCAAAAAGCAGCAAAACAACATTCAATGCAGTTGCTAGTAAGAAACCTGAGTGCCAGCCTCTACTTTGCCAAAAAAAAGAACACAGCAATAGAAATCCATTCCACTTGCAAGATGGCAGACAGGCAACATTAATTGGAAAGAATATTATAAAGAGACAGAAACAGAAATAAGAAAAGCACAGTGCAGCAGTCTTTTCTATATGCTACATATGTCCTATGAAGTGTTGATTGTGGCTTATGAAATAAGTTACAAGTTGCTAAATAGAAACTAAATTAAATGCATCACATCACTCATAATTATGATAATCACAATACAGCATTCTTTTTTTATAAGAATTCACTTTTGACAGACGCATGTCATCATATTAGAAATTAGATACACTTGAGTATTTATATTCTATTCATCAAAGATCAGACTTAATCAGAAATACAAAATATACTTATCTTTCTTACAAATTGGCAGCTGACATATTCTTACAAATATTAACAATTAAGCATATCAATTTAACACAATGTTATCTATATCAATTCATATTCATTCTATTCTGTAGACTAAAATAACAGTAACAGATTAGATCATATTCTTTCCCTTTTCTGCAAAAAAAAGCAAATAAATCTAATGTGCTTTAAAACAGAATATAATTATTCAAAAGGAAGAAACTGTATTGTGTGTGTGTACACATACATAAAATACACACAGACATGCACACATGTATGTAGTTTTGGTATGTGAAATAATATGACTAACATTATTTCATAATAATAAGTGATGATATGATATGAAATAAAATCATATCATCAAATGAGTACTTTGTTAATAGTCAGATAACTAAAATCCTTATGTTTAAACAAAAACTAAAATTGACACAATATTTAATGTTTATAAATTAAAACATGATGTCTTTTTCTCAGTAAAGTATCGGCAGACTGCCAGATATTCCATGCATCAAAAGTCCCCTTTCACATAATTTTAAAATGTCTAAATTTAAAGGCAATATTTATTAATACAGACACACAAAACTAAAGCATAAACTTTTGTTGATGCATAACATAAGCATAATATAACATATTATATTATATTGTTTCTACATGTACGTCCTTATAGAGGACACCTTCTCCCTTTACATAAAGGGACATATGAGTTTGATCAAGGAGTGGTATATTGCAGTGAATGAAGAAAAAAGCCTTTTGCACGCAGAGTAAAACTAACATTGAAAGGTATGAATGCACAGAAGTTTACTTTTGTGTGCTCTTTTCCAATTCTGCACCAACTCTTCCAAGTCTTTGTGAAGCCATGCAACAATTTCCATAGAAGTGATAAAGCAGAAACAATGAATAGCTCTTTATACTTCTTACTCTCTGGATATTCTTTTCTTCTGTACATTGTTTACTTTTTATGCCTGACAATAAAGTTTTGAGTCAAACTCAGCTCCTGGTAGACTACATGAACATGTCCATCACAGATAAAAAAAATATGGTATTTGCATTCTTTATACCATATTGGTTACAATGTATCTAATATAACTATGAATATTATATAGAGTAACTTCAATCAAGTTATTTAAAGTACACAGTGAAGCATCCTTGATCCTCTTGGTGCTAGTGATGATGATGTTGATGATGATGACTAGCACCAATGATGTTAGCTAGTTTGGGTAATGAAAGGTCTGCAAGAAAACAATGATGTTCCAAGAGCACCAAGGACCCCTCATTTCAACTCCGAATCACAAATATTCTCTTTTATTGAACTCACACAGAATTTAGGTCAATTATTCATTTTTTATATTTGAGGTGCAATTGTATCTATATCTATCGAGACGCACGCACACACACAAGCACATATATGGCTTTTAAACAGGTATGGCATAAATTATATTGTGACTTGAATGTAGTTAAAGAGGATTTTGAACAAAATATATGATATTTAATAATCTTAAATAAATAATTTTTAACTATTTTATGACTTGTTCAGAATAAAGAAACCTCTACCGTTCTTATGATATAATTAATGTAAAACATATACATATTAATGCAATGATTTGAAATATTTCTTTAATACATCTAAAATACAGTATCTATGGATTCCCAAGGTACTGTTAAAGCCTTATTACATGCAGGTACAATTTCTTTTACCGGAAATTTGAAAGATGATAAAAAGATTACATGAAGATACATTACAAAGTTCACTACTAATAGAGAATCCATTATTTTATATGTACACAACCACCAAAACAAATATCCTGTGAATTCTGAATATGTACTATATCTCTTCATATCTCAATGTCAAGGAGACAACCTCTTTTTCATTTTTTAGCTGTATATTCTCATCAGTGTTGACTAAGGCCCAAAACAGGAAAATAAAACCAATCATACACCATCAATAGTTTTGATAATATATTCATTTTTTTCCTTCTGACATTGGTAGAATAATCATAAAATATAGTATGTGAAATGGTTTACATGTACTGCAAGATAGAAATAGATAGTGGCATACTTGTTCTAAAACAAATCACTTTAATCAGTAAATATTAAATTAATATCCATTTATTTGGTCCTATATTTGTTTATTTTATTGTTTTGCTCTGCACTTCTTTGGAGTGCGGTTTCTACCATAAACTATCAACACACATACATGAACATGTATCACAATCACACTTTTATTATAAATTTGGGTAAACATAGTGTTGTACAGACTTTTCTTATATTTATATTTTTTAACCCTAATATTCTGTTTTCTGAAGGTTAAAATAAAGTTATCTTTTAAATGTGGTATATCAAGTACTTAACAGCCAATAGATGGCAAGCAGATTAATGCAGCCTTTTAAATTAATTAGAAAGATGGGGATAAAATGAAATATAAAGAAAACCAAACTAATAACAATAGGTAGAAAACCTACTTAAATCGACAATGAAGATATCAAAGTGGTAGATGGCCTTTCATGATCAACCATCAACAGCAAAGGAACAAGCAGTCAGCAAATATGCCATAAACTAACACTTGATAAGAGTAGCTATGAATACCTTGGAAAATATATTCAAATGCAACAAAGATGATTAGGGGCCTGGAGATTAAAACATATGAGGAATGGTTGCAGGAACTGGATATGTCTAGTCTAGTGAAAAGGACTAAGGATGACATGACAGCAGTGTTATTTGAGGGCTTCTCAGAGAGCACCAAGGACCCTCCATTTCAACCCTGAGCTACAAATAATCTTTCTTGATCTCTTATTTTTTTAAAAATCAAGATAAATACTTAGCATCAAATAGTGCAAAAAGAGAAAAAAATCCGGAAATATACTGTTTAGAATTTGTAGGGAGATACAGGTATTCCTCTACTTACAACCACAATTGAGCCCCAAATTTCTATTGCTAAATGAGACATTTATTAAGTGAGTTTTGCCCCATTTTATAATCTTTCTTGCCACCCTTGTTAAGTGAATCACTGCAGCTGTTAAGTTAGTAACATGGTTGTTAAGTGACTCTAGATTCCCCCATTGACTTTGCTTATCAGAAGGTCGCAAAAGGTGATCACATGACCTGGGGACACTGTAACCATTATAAATATGTACCAGTTGCCAGACATCCAAATTTCAATCATGTGCCCATGGGGATGCTGCAACGGTCATCAGTGTGAAAAATGGTCATGATACCTTTTTCAGTACTGTTGGGATTTCGAACAGTCACTACGTGAATGGTTGTAAGTCGAGGACTACCTGTATATGGGAAACTCTACTCCATCTGTAGCAAAATGGTTGTTTGGACGCTTCAATGAAATACAGCTGCTAAATTTTAAAATCCTAAGTCAATAAAGCAGGATAAGAAAGACTCCTGGAAAGAAATTCAAATTCAGTATATTCCACATGCTTTGTGTAAAAAAGAATATTTGTTAATTATGGGATAACCAACATGGAAATTATATTTCAATATAAATTAACAACTAAAAGACAAAAACTAATTAAAAGAATATGCAAAGTACATATACCAAATCCTTCTGAAGTTTAATAAAGAAAACATTCAACAGAAGAATTTTTTCCTCCTGGGTAATAAATGATAAGCAAACAAAAGGATCAAGATTAGAAACTGCTTTATAAGAAACTATGAACAATAAGCTAATAATAGTGATATTTTAGGCTTTCAAGTATTTTTTTAGGCTGCCAAAGTAATCCAGGCAATCATATGAATCAAAAAAATTTCTCAACTTAATATGTACAATCTGATTAAACAAATACACTACAATACAGTTATATTAAACAACCAACAAAGTACTTTCTTAGTTTCTACATCATTTGTTATTTCTTCAACAATAATACATCTAAATCTATAAATGGTGCTTACCTGAGATTCTTTTACATTTTCAACTGAGAAATTGAACCAGACTCGAAAACGTGGATTACATGTGTCTGGTCTGATGAAAAGATCATATTCAAATTCAGTAATATGGTCAACACGTCCAAGATTCCCTAGAAACATTTGCAAAACAAATTGTGAGGTTAAGGTTTACACAAAATCCCTCTATAGTAATGTCATGGTCATCTCACCAAAAGGCCTAATAAAATTGTATGGACAAAGCTATCCCAAATATACTAGCTCGGGGTCCCAATCCCTGGGCCATTGCCCACTACTGGGCGCAGCCTTTTCGAAACCGGGCCATGGGAGAAATGGGCAAGTGCGCATGCATGAAGCTCCACTTAGAAAACCTGCACATTGACAACATTTCCATCAGGCAATAGCAAAAGGCCATATTGCTTGTATCCACACATATACTATGGCGGTACAGTGTGACATCCCAAGTCCTTGAGAAGAAGTCAATGTGTATGAAAGCCAACAATAGTTAAAGAACTGGCAGCTGTGATTTCGCATTGTTCTATGTATAATAATAACAAAAAATAAAGATGCCACATTAAGTTTTTAGAGTGCCTGGAAATAAACTAAAATGGGAAATGCTTTATAGCCTGATTAAGAATTGGTCCAATATTTCAATATAATGGGGGGAGAAAACTGACTTCAAATGAAAAAAAAAACAGGATGGGAAAGTAAGCAAAAAACAGCAAACTGCCCTGTTGCAAAATGATAAGATACTTTACTTGTGGAGCTTCCCAGTACTCAGTCAGACAAGTTTAATGATTGCACAGTTCCTTTTCTCCAAAACTTCTGCTTTTATTACAGTTTCCCAGGAACTTTTCCCCCTTTTGGTTCCTTTGCTACTTCTAGATTGAACTTCTGTTAATCAGTTATCCAAGCTCATATATAGAACGTTATGGATGGGAGAAAAACTCAACTAATCTTTCTCTATACAGATAGTCCTTGACTTACAATAATTCATTTAATGACCCGTTCAAAGTTTAAAAAGCACTGAAAAAATTGGCTTATGACCGATTTTCACACTTACAACTGTTGTAGCATCAACATGGTCGAGTGATCAAATTGGGGCACTTACAGTGGTGGGATTCAGCCAGTTCGCACCACTTCGGCAGAACCGGTAGCTAATTTTTGCCCAGGCCCAGAATGGACTTCCAGAAGTGGCATCCACACAGAGAACCAGTTGTTCACATATTTGAATCCCACCACTGGGCACTTAGCAAAGACAGCTGCACTCTTCTGGGATCATGTGATCACTTGTAACCTTCCCATTTGGCTTTCAACAAGCAAAGTCAAAGGGGGAAGCCAGATTTGCTTAACAACCACATGATTCACTTAATGTCTACAGTGATTTGCTTAACTATTATGGCAAAGAAAGTCATAAAATGGGGCAAAACTCACTTGACAACTATCTTGCTTAGGAACAGAAATTTTGACTCAATGGTGGTTGTAAATTGAGTACTACCTGTATACAATTTCTACTGTTCCCCCCACCCCCAAAATCTTTTGCCATTGCTTTTTCAATCTTTTTTCTTTTTACTTGAAAGAAAAGTAGCACACTAACATTCATTTATAATGCTAGATTTTTCCAATTTGGAAATACCTTGAATCCCCTGCTTACATTATTAGTATACAATACAGTAAACTAAAAACAGATTCTACACAAATGCAAAACACTGGAATACATCCTCAGTAGTAGCAGAATACTTGAGAAATGACATATGTCCAATATGTGTTAGATTATTTTAAGTTCTAAATTATATAATAATGTTTTTCTTCTTTGGTAGCAAGAATACAAAATTCAAAAACTGGATCTACAGAGTATTTTCAATCTGAAATATTTTAAGTATTAAATGCTCTATTTTGAATTTGAAATGGGTTCTTCTGATCAATACAGAAGTCCCTTGATTTTCAAACGAGTATTTTAAGCTCAAACAAAGTCAGTTTCAAAATTGAAATGCTTTTAAAATAGTCGTACCAGATACAGTATGTTTTAAATTCAAATGGATTGTACAACCCTGGTCAAAATTGACAGATACCTGCATAATCACAAAGTACTATTTGAGGCACAAAGTTTTAAAATAGTTTTTAAATAAAACACTCTTCAGCTTACACTGGGATTGTCTGCATCTTCTTTTCACATTTTAGTTATAATGAGACCATAATAAAACTATTAGAATCATCCATGCAGTCTTGAGAAACATACGTGAACACACCTAAAAAGTTCTTTAGAGAATGTCTTAATCTTTTAATATAATAAAAATTATTATTTTAAGGATGTCTAAGATAGTATTCAGCAGCTAAATATTTATTTTAAAATATTATCTATATTCATAAGGAATATTAATGTTATAAAAAAATCATACAGGCTGACTTTTAGCATTATTTACTCATCAGTTGCTGCTCACATTTGCATTAGCTGTCTTTGTAAGGCTACTGTTTTATTTCATGTACAATTATAAAATAACGTAAAAGTGGGCGTCATTTAGAATTATGTGTATTAAGAAAAGGAATAAAAATACTGCTTCAGTTATCTCTCAATACATGTTCAACACATCATAAAATGTTAAAATAAAGCAAATAAGAAAGATTGTATGTCATAAACATTGAAATCCTGTTTCAATTAAATGCTAATTGGAGTTTCTATATGTGCCAAACGATTATCATAAAAATGCAAAAAAAAAAAAAAAAGATGCATTAAGCAACCTTAAGATCTTCTTAAAACACACATTGTGCTTTTCTACAGAGAACTTTAAAATGGAAAAATAGTCCTTGAGGGTCTTAGACAAGCCTCAGGCAATATAAAGGAAAAGGTCAAATACACTGCTAAAAAGGACTGTTATCTTCAGAACAACAACTTATCAGCCAGCTTGCAGCCCTGCTTATTTACAGTTATTGGTCCCAGAGGAAGTGCACTTCAACACAGGCCACGATTACTTTGCAATGAGTTTGCCAGAAATGGTAAAGGAAACTAATTTGTAACAATGTGCTGTCCCTTATATACAAACTTTTACAGACACTTTTGATTTTGGCCAGCAATGAATAACTAACTTTGCTCTCTCTCTCTCTCTCAATAAGCTGTGAAAACAAAAATACACTTAAAAGACCAACTTGCAGTCACGAATGTGCTGAAATATCAGTAATTATCTCTCTCAGCTACCCATTACACTATTCATGACGATGATCAATTCCCCTGTGGTGGTTGCACAGAATAGACATTTCAAAGGATGATTTGCACATGTAAATTAACACTATTTGGAAGAAAATAGGTTGCACCTGTCACAGATTAGTAACAAAAGGTCAGATGCCCTCTTTTCTACTTAAAACACCCAAGTATTATGTGCCTTGCTTTTAGAATATAATTCTGGGTTGACTAAATATAGAATAGCAAGCAGCACAATGAACAAAACTATATAAAGACTTAAACCTTAACTAAAAGGTCCCAATAATCTATTCTTCAAAATAAGTAGCAGTAATCAGAACACTGTCAAATAATTTTTCAAAAGTATTTTTGACAATATATTGCCAGTTTTCACTTTTTATCTAAGGAATAATAATATCTACATAGAGACAATAAAATTATTAATAACTATATACCGTAAAACCTTTAAAATAAAAAAACCTTAATCTTTGCTTTCAAACATATTGAAAATTTATTGAACTTTATACTACAAGAAATAATGAATATTGGATTTTTCACTGAAGGTAATACAACAGAAAGTTATATTAGAGATCTATAGTTTGTTCAAAGGAATCTTCTTGGAGAACCTCTCTCTCTTAAATGCAATCAATTTTTATTTGTATTTGATAATAAAAAAAATATAAAATGAAGAGAATAAAATACATATTTTAGACAATAGATATGGGAAGAGTGCTACTCCATATCCAATTCTCCTCCATATTTTTGTGCTGAAAAAACATGGCTATTTAAGAAGGCATTTGGAGATATGGAGATTTAATCTACCTCACAGAATGATGCTGTCATGGTTTCTGAGGTGTCTACAAATTGGAGTTCTTTTATTTTTAACATTGTTGTTTTGTAAGCCATTTACAACCTATTAGAATTCAGCAATTTAATAATTAAATATCATATATACATTATGCAATAGCTTTGACTAACCTTGAACTTTGTGTTTTCCTCTCTCTTAGTGGCTAGAAGATATAAGTACTGGAGATTCCTGTTTGAACTCATTATAACTCAAGAAAGCCAATTGGGACTGGAATTTCAGTAATCAGTCAGTGCAGTTGTAAGTTGAGTCACTATGTGACCATACTCAATTTTACCACCATCTTTACGTGGGTCCTAAATGAATCACCACAGTAGTTAAGCGAATCATGTGGTTATAAGCGAATCCAGCTTCCCCAATAAACATTTTTTTTTGCCAGAAACCAGTAAAAAAGATAGCAAATCGCAATCATGTGATTGCAAGATGCTGCAACAGTTGTAAATGCGAGCCGGCTGCCAAGTGCACAAATTGTGATTGTGTGACGACGAGTAGGGTGCAACAATTATAAGTGCAAGTACAGATAGTAAAGCACTTTTTCCACAGTCATAAGTCAAGGAATACCTATACTACACTCATCTGCCATAAATTATCAATGATTTATGAAGAGCTGTAGTGGTGCAGTGGTTAAAATGCAGTATTGCAGGCTAATTCTGCTGACTACCTGCTACCTGTAGTTCAACAGTTCGATTCTGAGCAGCTCAAGGTTGACTCAGCTTTACATCCTTCCAAGGTCAGTAAAATGAAACCCAGATTAATGGGGGCAACATGCTAACTCTGTAAACCACTTAGAGAGAGCTGTAAAGCATGGTGAAGCTGTATATAAGTCTAACTGCTATTACTACTGCTATTCTCAGATTCTCACGTGATATAAAGCTGCTTTTCTGTCATCATGTATTTTCAATAATGTGCAATATGCTTAGAGATAATCTCACCACCTTGCATTGTCATTATCTGGAAACTGCTAAGAATTTGCCTGCCCAGCAGCTAGCACATAGCAACATTGATGGAAGGGAAGAATCTAAGAGGAAGGCTTCTGAGGAAAATAAGATATTTAATTCTAGATATAATGAGTCTGAGACAGTGATCAAATATCT